GGAGGTCTTTCCCCCCCTTCCGGGCCGGGAGCGGCGCTCAGGCTGCCGCCGCCGGCCTTCTCGCCCTCCAGGCCACCGCGGCAATCGCCGCGGTCGCCGCCGCCRCCAGGGCCCACCCCGCCGAGCGCTGCTTGGGTTTCCCCAGGACCCTCCGGGCCAGGGCCGCCACCGACCCCTTGTAGTAGCCGCTCCGGGCCTTGTAGACCACCCCCAGGCGATGGTGGGCCGAGTGGTGCAGCTCCACCGCCACCGCGTGCAGGTCCCTCGCGCCCGAGAGGGGCCGGCCGTAGGGGACCAGGACACCTTGGAGGACGGAGGGCCCCGGCTCCCCGCTTCCGGGGGCGGAAGCTTCCACCAAAACCTCGAGCACAAAGCCGTCGGTGCGCACGTCCGTGAGCCTGGCCGAGGCAATGGCCAGGGATCCGTTTTGGACGGCCGCGAGGAGGCCGGCACCCTGGTGCGGCTGTTGGTTGTCGCTGGTCCTGCTGGGGTCGTCCACCCCAAAGGCCAGGACGTAGGCAACGAGGCTGTCCCCGTGGTCGTCGTTCATGTGCTTCATTACCCGCGGTGCGCTTTTTTTGAGGTCCTCCTCGAGCTTGTTGGCGACGGGCGCTGTGGTTTCGCTGCCGGACGCCTCGAACGGCGGCGGCGGTGCACCGTCGTTGGTTTGGTGGCTCATCGTGTTCTAGGAAGGGAACGCAACGCAACGCAACGCAACGCAATGCCAAGACCGAGTCGATGTCTACAAGAGGGAATTCAGAGCCTCTCCCATCAACTCTTTTTTTTGGCTTGCTAGTTGGTGGTCTAGAAAGTGTGTGACGCCGTATTCCTTGTTGTCGTGACTATCTTCTAGAGAGAGAGAAGAAAAATTGCATGCTCAGTGTGTGTGCTGCGCTCGGTGCAGCGTGCAGGACATCGTTTGAGTAGAAAATAACTTTGGTAGAGTGCTCTACTGTGTTAAGATACGTATCTACGATGGGCAATATCTTCGATATAGTACGGTACCGTACCTAAGATATCTACTATGAGTACTATCATTGAGAGTAAAGTCACTGTTCTATCTTGTCCATTCACGAGTGCTGGACGAATAAATATCGGAATAAGCACATCGTGCGTCATTCGCGACCACTTCGAGATCGAAATACGGCAAAAGATTCCGATTTCCCGTGAATTGTCGCCGTCGCCATCGCCATCGTCATCGGTGTTGTTCAGTTGTTCAATCAAAACAAGTTCACATCAAAAAAAATTCTACTCGTTCTATCGGTACCGGTACCGATAGAACACACTAAGAAAGTCCGCGCCTCCACCGACAAATCATTTTCTGGTCGAGGGAAAAGAATTCATTCGGTGGATAGGAATACGTATGAGCACATCGTTCCGTTCACACCTCGCCGCAACAATTTGGCACCACACTCTCCATCGATTGGGATAAGKAGTATTGGAAGGGTGACTAAGTACGGCTTTTACTACCGTACACKGAGCTAAAATTCAGTCGACGATGGCGTCCTGCCAGCGGCCCTGCCATTGGCGATCGGCATTCCGGTTCGTATTTTGGTCCTGGGCGTTGGTGGTCGTAGAAATCGAAGCCCTCCAACGCGCCACCTTTGGGAATCTGCGGGTGCTCGCCGGGCATCCACACCAGCCAAACAAATCCARTCCGAACCGAGATCGTCGGAAGTGGCAAAGGAGAACCCACCGAACGACGACATGCTACAGGCAGAATCCTCCTCGGGCCGGAACAATCCTGTATAACAMGGATCACAATGAGGAATACGACATGMATGAGGACCATTCTCCGGCATCTTGTATGTCCCGGAGGTCGTTTGCTKCAAGCGTAACGGCAAACACGGCAACGGCGTTGTTGTTTCCGCYGCGGTCCATGGCCGATGATTCTGTCGAAGAAATGGACGAAACCACAGAAGTGGAAGACATCGACGTAGATAGCGATGATGCAGAAGAKAACGGTGATGACGCGGCAGTARATGTGGTCGAATACGTGATCAAGGATTTCACTGTTTCCCTTCCGGAAAACTGGAAGGTTCTGGAGAGCTTTGACGACGAAGCAACAGCACCGCCGCATCCAACCCTGTTCTCGGCGCTCGACCCCTCCTCYGGGAGCTTTATCACGGTAGTTCAGGAGGAAGCCTGTGGCCTAGACGACTTCGCCAGATCCAGAGACTCCGGAAACAACAAGAAGAACGACAACGATATCGGCAACACGAAGGTCTGTGACTTTGTCCAGCCGGGCGAAACCGATCCGCCGCTGTTTTCGACCGAGACCTACGCCCGGGATGCCACCCGGCTGCTGATCCGCCACGACGACCGCCTCAAGCAAAACGAAGCGGCGGTTGGGGGCAGCAGCATCAGCAAGCTGGCAAGCACGAATCTGATTGCCTCCGGGACCTCCTTTGCCAAGGGCATGCTGGACCCTTCGCTCAAAACCTTTGCGGAGTTTGAGACGCGGTCGGCGGTGCTRGAGCTGGAGGCGGCCACTACCACYCTCAGCCTCTCGCAGGCCGAGCCGATCGAGCAGAGGGTCCTGGCCAAAGCGGTGGCGACAACCACTACCATCACGAGGACGACGACGACCGACGACAATGACAAAAACGACGAAAAAGAAGGCAATGACCCTGACAATGACAATGACACTGACGAAAACGAAAACGAAAACGAAGACGAAGACGAACAGAAGGAGTCTGAGTCGACGACTGAGGAAGAGGATACAAGCAATAGCCCGCCTACGAAAGAAGTGGATTCGCCCACAATGTCTGCAACAGACTCGAATACCAGTGGCACAAGCCCCGACCAAACAACATCTGTCGGCTCCGCCACAGAGTCGAGTGAAGCACAGCTTCCGGACCCCACAACACCAGAGGAAACGCAACCGCCCGAGCCGATCGATGGCACAAACGTTGTCCCCGCCGAAACGACCTCTGTGGACAATTTGACGCCCGAAGCGGCACCGCCACCTCCCTCAGAACCCGAAACAGCAAATCTTCCACCCATTCCGGAATCGGAAGAGGGGATCGATGCCACCCCAGCTGAAATGCCCGCGTTGTCGGATGCAGAACCAACCCTAGAAGCAGATATGACACCAATAGATATGCAAGGAGCCGAACGCAGGACGGAAGTTGTAGCAAGCAGCAATGGTGGAGAGCTAGATACAAACACCGAACCCCTAGATATTCCCAATACCGATCTCGCATTGGATACCTCCAAAAGTGTCATGTCGGCACTGCTGGCGTTGGTGGTGCCCGATACACCAAACAACGACCCCGGAGAACCTCTCACCGAGATCCCGACCACAGACCAACCGGAAGTAGCATCGGTAGAGCCATTACTCGCCTCAACCACTCCCTCCCCGACGGTGGCGATCGAACAAGACGTGACCGAGAACAAAGACTCGGTCGAACCCGAAGATTCGGAATCGGAGGCGAGTCCTGCTATAGCAAGCCGGGAAACCACCRACACTACAGAAGCTATACCCGAKCCCACGRCACGCGAAGAAACACCAACCTCCGGAAACCCCAACCCCGGCAAGGCGGCGCTGCCGTCACCTCAACCTCCCACAAGCAGCGATGTGTCGAGCGAGGAAGCTGATGAYGGACTAACTACGATCACCGACACGATCACATCCACCACGGTGGTGAGCATTTGGTTGACCGCACCGGTCGACTCATGGGAAACACCGGCGACGGGAAACCGGCTACTAGAGATCTGGGAGAGCGTCACCTACAACAAAAACAGCAGTAGCAAAAGCGGCAAAAGGGTTGGAAACGTAGAGACAAACGACGAAGACGACGAGACACTGAACGCACAGCTCCTCTTGATGAACCGGTGACCGCAATTTTGGTTTCGTTGGCAACACGCCTAGACGTAGTAGTAGTTGTTGTTAATAAAATAGAATACAGTACATGATAGCAATGTTCCTACTGCCCTGCTCTCTACCGTAGATTGATAGAAAGACAAAGCATTCTCTTACAATATACGACTTGGTTTTATTTGGACTAGTCCCATGTTATTTCGAAAACCATTTTTCGAAATCGAAGGAACCGCCTGTTTCTTATCTCAGGCGGTATTTGGACACTGCGTTGTGTTGCGGTGCAATGTGTTTTGTTCCTTTTTGTTGCGTTTTGTTGCTGCATAGGATTACAAGCCATAGCAGGGTCTGAGATGTGCCGAAGTATGCGTCGTACTAATCCGATTTACTTTCTTTGACCGCCTCGACGATAAACATGGGATCTCGGTATCCATTATCTGGAAGAGTAGCTGTGATATCAAAGGCTTTGCGGGGTTCAAAACCGCCCGCATACTGAAAGTACCCATTGATCAATTCAAGGTGCTGACGATCATTCATTTGTAGCCACTGCAATCAAGGCATGAGCGGTAAGAAACACGACGAAGGGTGAGAAGTCCGAAGTACATCCTAATGCAACCGAAACAAGCTTGGCTATGCAACAGAATATGAAAAAAACAGGAATAACAGCAGCGTACGGACCATCGCAATAGCCTTCGTCGGAAAGCACCGATTTGATTGAGAGATAATGGCCTTGCCCCCGGGACGCAACACACGGTGAACTTCTTTCAAAACCTTGACGGGTTCGATCAGGTAGTCGATGGATACGACACACGTCACCACATCAAAGGAGTTGTCCTTGTAGGGAAGCGTTGGATCCTCATTGAGATCTCGGGCCTCGAATCCACCCGTCAGCTGATCGTTGAATCCCAGTTCGAGACCGCTGATGCCGGTGGCACTGATGCTCTTCATGGTCTCGGGGAATTCCAACGGGTAATGGGAGACCCACGAGGAACAAATGTCCAAAATGTCGGACTTGGCGGGTATGTTTTTGCGGTAGTATTGTGTGAGCGAGGCAACCGCTGGTTCGTCAATGTGGTAAACCAGCTTAGGAATGGTGTAAAATCCCTTGTCGTTGCTGGGATCGCTCCGGGAAAAGTCTTGCTCCTTAAAGGGCCATTCCTCCGGCCAGGTCTGGACCAGCCGAACGGGTTGTACGGGGAACTCATACGGGGTCGAATCTCCCGTCATGCGCCGCACCAGAATGCCCCGGGTACGGGGATTACCACTCCCGTCGTCTCCAAGGGACATCTGGAGTTCCTTGTCGATGTAGCGAGGGTWCTGGCTCCCGGCAGCAACGGCCTTGGCCTCGCACTGTTCCGGATTGGTATTGGCAGCAACAAATCCCGCCGTCCCAGAGGCAAAGGTGGCCGCAGAGGCCGAAAGGAACTTGGCTCGATCGAGGACTTTTACCATTGCGTTCGTTCGAGGGTTGATTTTGTGGTGAGCGGAAGCCTTCAGACAAGAAAACGCCGTTGCACAATGGTGCATGGGAACGGCAATTGCTACGATGCAAATGCACAAAAAGGTTGATTCGAACAACGAGATGGGTGCAGTATGGTCTCTTCGGGCCTTCCTTTGGTTGATTGCTCTGCGATGCATGCTATTTTTTTCCTTCGGAAAGGATTCGCGATTTTGGGCAAACTATTCGCTGCGAACGAATTAACTCGTTTTCGACGTCTATTCGTGCTGTCCAAAAAGACAATTCAATGACAATGATATGTTGTTCTTATCGTTACAACACTTGTGATATTCAACGAAGCAATCAAGTCATCGATTGCAACTTGCAAAAATGAGGATGATGGTGATGATGATGGTTGCTGACGATGATATCGGCATGAGTATGGTACGGCACTCGTACGGACATGATGGTAATTCCTGACTACAGTTTTCTTCTAAATGCTGAGAACTCGTACTCGTACTCGTACCGGTACGTTAGAACAAGCCGGTATCGTTCCTGGTTTTCGGCAAGAAAAAGATCTTTCAATGAGGTTTAGGGTTTAAATGAAGTATCTTAAACTTTAAACCCCTTTTTAATTCCCTCAAATATCAAAAGGGTAKATCCCAAAAAGCCRAAAGCGAGTACGACTAGCCGTTAAGAATGAAYGTACGGCACCCGTAKCCATCCTTGTCGTTAAAATAATTTTGGCGAGCGAGGTGACCCAGGATTT